AATCAGACTGCCTCAGCTTCCCAAGTGCCAAGATTAAAGGCATGCACCACCATGGCCAGCTGCTAATTTCTTTCTACTCCCCTAAAGTAATGTGGGGGTTTGTTTTTGGGGTTTTGTTTTGTTTTTTTTGGTACCAGGGATCAAACTCAGGTCCTTCTGCTTGCAAGGCAGGAGGCAGAACCACTGAGCTAAATCCCTGACTCAGTAATGCAGAATTTTTTAAACGTCCTGATAGTTCTCACTGGCTTGTTCTCTATAGCTGAGCCCTGGAACTTCGCTCTGAGTGGTGTTTTTTGGTGTTTTTTTGTTTTTGGGGGGGTTTTTTTGGTATCAGGGATCCAACTCCGGTCCTTGTGCTTGCAGGGCAGGTGGCAGAACTACTGAGCTAATTTCCTGGCCCCTGCTCTGTCTTTTTGTTTTTTTTTGGGGGGGGGGGTTGATACCAGGGATTGAACTCAGGACCTTGTGCTTGGAAGGCAGGCGGCAGAACCACTGAGCTAAATCCCCAGCCCCTGAGTGTTTTTTTTAAATAAGTTTTATTTTATTTTATCCCATTCTCCCCCTCAAGCCCTCTCCCCTCCATATGTACAGAAGCTTTGTTTCCATTTGCTCTGTGTTTTTTCCAGGAGTCCTGCACATTAATTTGTTCAATTAACACAACCAAGGGCATCCTTATTCATTCAGTTATATACTCAACAAACTTTCAACGGGAGCCTGTAAGAGCTAGTCCCTGAGGATAAAGAGATCCATTAAATAACAACTGTATTCTTAAAGAGCTCACAATCTGGTAGAAAACTAAAATGGTCCCAAGTGCATGGTGTTTGTGGTATACAAAGTCTTTTTAATAATAATAAAAAGAGTCATTAACTTTTTTCATCTTCACCGTTTTGTTTTGTAGTGCTTGGGTCTGAATTTAAGGCCTTACACATGTACACTGTGGTACATCCCTTGCCCCCAGGGTTATTTTATTTTATTTTGGTACAGGGGATCGAACTCAGGACATTGTGCTTGCAAGGCAGGCAGCAGAACCGCTGAGCTAAATCTCCAGCCCCCCAGGGTTATTTTAAAATAAACTTTTCAAGTAGTTTTAGATTTACAGAAAAGTTACAGAGCATTACACAGAGTTCACTGAACCTCTCACCGTTTCCCCTATCTTCACATTGCTATGGTACACCTGTCACTGCTAAGAAACCGACATCAGTATATTACTAGACTCCACATTTGCTTTTTGCTTTGGTTTTCTTCAGATCTCCTTAGTTTTACCTATTATCCTCTTCCCGTTCCTGGACATCATCCAGGGTAGCACATCACATTTAGTCATTATGTCCCTTGTGTGCTTCTGGGCTCCCACAGTTTGTAGATATCTTTTTCAGGATGATCTTGACAGTTTTGAGGCGCACTGGTGGGGTATTTTGTCCTTCCGTTTGGGTATGTCCAGTATTTTCTCTTGGTTAGATGGAGGCTGATGGGTTTGGAGAACGAAGACCACAGAGATAAAATGCCATTCTTATCACATCGGGTCAAAAGGCACCTGCTATTAATATGACTTATCATTGTCACTGTTCATCCTGTCACCCAGCTGGGGGCATGTGTATCAGGTATCTGCTCTACAAAGTTCCTCCTCTCATTCTCTCCTTTCCATACTGACTTTTTAAAAAACAAAGTCATGGGCCAAAGATTTAGCTCAGTGGTTCTGCTGCCTGCCTCACAAGCGCAAAGACCTGAATTCGATCCCCGGTACCAAAAATAAATAAATAAAAAAAATAAAAATAAAAAACAAAGTCACTGTGTGCATCCCACACATAGTGAAGGAGGACTGAGCTCCATCTCCTTGAGGGGGGAATATTTACTTAAATTATTTAAGTGTTTCTGCAAAAGAGATTAAAATTATTAGCTTGTGTTTAGAATTTTATATTAAAATGGTCTTGCAAATACATTTATTTATAATCCCTAATCTGAGAAAGTTTGCAGTCTGCTTGGGGAGATCATAGAGGAAAAGTTAATGACAAGAGAGAGTTATAAAAAAAATATAATTTTAGCCGGACATGGTGGTATGCACCTATAGTCCTAGCTATTTGGAAGGCTGAGCCCCGGAGTTCAAGGCCAGCCTGGGCGAAATAGTGAGACCTCAGCTTAAGACAAACAAAGATGGAAAAAAAGAAAAAAGAAATACAATGTCGTACACCCATGTTCATAGGTAACATTATTCATCTGAAAGTTGGAAGCAATCTAAAGTATCCATCAATAACACATGGATTTTTTAAAAGTCTATACATATAACAGAATATTATTTAGCCTTAAAAAAGGAAATTTTCACACATTCTACAACATGGATGAGCCATGAGAGCTGACGTTTTGACAAGTGGAATAAGCCAGCAACACAAAGACAAATAGTGTACGATTGTGAGTCCTTAGAGTGGTCAAATGCATAGAGACTGAGTAGAAGAATGTTTACAGGTGCTGGGCTGAGGGGGGATTGGCATTTATTATAACAGATATAGAGTTTTAGTTTTTCAAGATCAAAAAAGTTTAGAGATCTATCATATAATATTATAAATGTACTTAACACTGCTGAACTGCACACTAGAAATGGTTTTGGTGGTAAATTTTGTGCTATGTGAACTTTAACACAATTTTTTAAATGTAAAGGAATTTGATTTTGAGTAGGAAGTATGTTTTGGAATTAACCCTCCAATAGGAATCCACAATTATTCTGTAAATCAGAGGCTGCAAAAGGACCCTGTGTACAGCTACCAACATATAAAACTCGAGAGATCGTACATAATAATCAGAAGTTCAGGCTTCCTCGAGAAACTGAGTGATCTGGCAACAGAAGCCCAAGGGAGTTGCTTGACAACAAGCGGCTGGAGCTGAGCAGGACCTGCCCCTCTGGACAGGCCGCACGTGTTGTGGTTAGTATAGCCACTACCACTTTTATTGCCACTTCCCCTTGCCAACTGCCCTCACTTTGATAGCCAGGCTGTGTTTGTCATTCCCCTAATACTCTGAGTGGTTGGTGCTGTCTGCTTAGCTAAGGCTTGTACATTGTTTCTCAGTCTGCCACCACCACCTGAGCCGTGTAGCCCTATGATAGAATTTAATCATGCCAAGCTCTGTTTAAGTACTAGAATTCCAAGGTATTTGACAACTCCTCCTCAGAGGCCCTCCTTTACGCCCACAGCTCCTCAGGTGTCCTCAAGGCACCAGAGGGAATGCTGGCTCTCGTGCCCTCAGGGAGAGAGTCTTGCCAGAACCTGGCTTGGGCTCTGCAGCACTATTTTAAGAGGACCTTCACCTGGGCCTACTGTGACTCTTGCCTCATTCCTAAGAGACTGGTGGAAGTGTGTCAGTGTCTCTCCTGAGCTCTCAAGGAAAACTTCTGTCAAGGGCTCCGATCAGACACTTCTAACCAAGAACCCCAAACCTCAGCACACAAACACCAAACCAAAGCAGGCTGCCAATGCTACACCCCCATCCTGCCGGCGCAGGCCTGGGTGACGTGCATGCTGACGTGTGTCTACCGCCCAGCCGCCCCTGCTCCTCATGCAGAGCTGTCCCCAGCTGTGGAAAAGCGTTCTGGGCAGCAATTTGTGTTTGGTACCATCCGACCTACCAGCTCAAGAGCGTCCTGAAGTAAGGCTTCCAGGCCAACACGGAACCACTTTGGGATGCACATTGAAACCTTCCCTTAACAGCCTAAAACAGGCATGAAGGCACACACCTATAGTCCCAGCACTCAGGAAGCTGAGGCAGGAGGATCTCCACAAGTTTGAGGTCAGTTTTCATAGTGAGACCCTATCTCAAAAAAGAAAAAAAATAAATAAACAAAACAACCACCACCAAAAAAACAAAAACAAAATCCCAGCCCCCGAAACGACAGCCTATACTTCCATTATGTGTGCTAGAGCCAGGAAAGAAGGCAGTGTGGTGTAGAAGGGAGCTTCGTTTGTCCTTTTGTGGGATTATGGGCCTGAGCCTAAGAAGCAAAGGCTGACTGCTCTGGTCACACACACTCGCACGTAGCGCGCCCAGCGTGGAACCCGCCCCTGCGGGAGGGACGCACAGCGCAGGATGCATCCGTGTGCCCCGTAGCTCTGAGGACATTTCTGGGTGGCCTTCCCAGCATCTGTGTCCTTCTTACTACTACCTAGGACCCCACCTTCCTCCGTTGTGAGTTTGCATGAGATCAAGTCAACCTTCAAATCAGGGGAAGCACGGGTGAACGTGTGGCACTAGTTACAAGGAGACGGTTTCAACGGAATAATCAGAAAAGCAAAACTGGCTTTTTCCTGCTGTTCATGACACGACAGGTACATAGAGACTCAGAAGCTCCAGCATCATCGTAGGGCCACAGTGGGAAGCTGTTTGGCAATGGAGTCTGGGGACAGCAGCTACCAAACCAGCAGGACACGACGGTGGCTCCACCCCAGGCTTTGGTTACAGGGGCCTGAGAATTCCCGGCTTGTCTCCCCCTGCCGAAGCCAGGTGCTGTGGTGCACACCTGTGATCCTACCTAGCAATTGGAGGGCTGAGGCTACAGGAGCGCAGTGGATTTAAGGTCAGCCTGGGTTACCTAGTGAGTCAAGGCCAGCTTGGACTACGTATCTAGACCCTGCATCCAAAGGAAAGAGGAGAGGAGAGGAGAAGACAAGGAGCAGAGAAGACCCTACCGAACACAACTTGACCCGGCTGCCAAGGTCTCTACTTTAATTAGCATCTCCCTACTAGTATTTTCAATTCCTTTTGAGACAGATCAATTTAGCTACAATCATGGTAGAATTTAGCTGATCTGAAAAGAATCTCCCACATTTATGTATTTTAGCATAAAATTCTGTTTAGTGGTTTATATTCCATTTCTTTTTATACACACCATTTAAAAAGAAATCCAGTTGGGCCGGGGATGTAGTTCAGGGGTGCAGTGCCTGCCCAGCAAGCGCAAGGCCCTGGGTTCAATTCCTGGTACCAAAAAAGAAAAGCGAAAAAAAAGACCAAAAAAAGCCCCTTTAAAAAAAAAGAAATCCAGTCTTCTGGTTTTAATATGAATATAAATGTAGGGCAAAGATGTTATCAACTCAAGCATTTTCTTTTGTCATAGAAAGTTTTTAAAGGGGGAAAATTAGGGATTTCTATTATGAAAAGATAAAAATTTACTCTGGGAGTCTGAAGGTAGACAATTACAAGCTTAAGCCCAGCCTGGACAACTTCATGAGACCCTGTCTCAAAAGGGCTGGTAATGTAGCTCGGTGCAAAGGCCCTGGATTCAATCTCCAGTATCATATATGTATGTACGTATGCATATTAAAAAGATACAGGGCATAGGAAACATTTAGTTTCACTTTGCCGTTATTAGATATTCTCTATCTGATTGTTATAAATTATTCATTTCCTCAGAGAGAGAATAAATTGGCTGGGGATGCATTCTTGTGCTATGCACTTTCTCTGCTGAAGGTTAGCACTGAGCTGTAGGAGCCATGAGAGTGCTTCTGCTTTGGGGGCTGCTAGCTCTGGGAGCTGTGAATGTTCATCCCAGCCCCATGGGAAGTTCCATGAGGACAGTGGTGAAAGAGACCTTGACTCTGCTTTCTATTCATCAGACTCTACTGATAGGCAATGAGGTGATTATTTTTATTTCTACAGTTCTTTAAAACACAAAACAATCATTTGTGCAGGCATTTACCAGGTGTAAATATCTCTTATAAGCAATGAAATTATGGGCACGTTAGTAGCACATAGGTAAGAACCACATCAATTGCAGACATCATATTAAGTGCTGGGAATGTTAAAAGAGTGCTTTAAAAATGATTTTATGTGTTTTCCTTTTCAGACCCTGAGGATTTCTGTTCCTGCACATAAAAATGTAAGTTAAATTATGACTCAGTAAAATGATCATACGAATATGGTAAATTTCATATTTTGAGCTGTAAGTCCTTAGTTTTCATTGGAACTACTGAATTTTCTCTATTTCATTTTTATATGGAGCGGATGTGAATGTATAAATATGAGAATGACTTTCTAGCCAGGAAAAGCCATACAAGTGGATCAGGCAGGCCCTTTGGCAAGGGTGTCGGTTCTCCATCCCAAAGAGCCTCCAGGGGCAGGGGATTTAGCTCAGTGGTTCTGATGCCTGCCTTGCAAGCGCAAGGTCCAGAGTTCGATCCCTGGTACCAAAAAAACAAAACAAAACAAGATTTACCAAAGAGCTGCCGGTCAGGTGAGAATTCCATGCAGGGTGAGAGGTACCCACTAGAATCCTGTGAGGCTGTCTGTGGGCTTCCTCAACGTAATGTCTTTTGGGATTAGTAACCTAGGGTTATGTTTTTAGAGTCATGACCAGTAGACATTAAAATATACAAGTGCCCTCTCAATAATGCCCACATAGCTAGATGATTATGACTGTATAATGGGTTCATATACCTTTGAAATATATCATGGTCATTATCAAAGGTAAAATACATTATTTCATAAGTCTAAATAGAATATAATTACCAATCTGAACTGTGAAAGAAAACACTGATATGAGTTCACTTACTAATGTAATTGCATTAGGGCCAGGGATTTAGCTCAGTGGTGCCACTACCTGCCTCTCAAAGCACAAGGTCCCGAGTTTGATTCCTGGTACTGAAAAAAAAAAGTAATGTAATTGCATTATACCTTCTGAACATTTTAATCCTAGTTAAGAGGTTTTTTTAAGCATCTTTTACATGTCTCCTTAGTAATTATATAACTGCACCTATCTGTTGAAAATGTCATCTCTGTGTGAGGTGGTTTACCACTTGGCAAAGGAACATGCAAAAACTCTTTGGAGGAAAAAAACCCCCCACAAAATAAAGCCTAATGTTTTAGACCAAAATTGACAAATTAAAATTGTATACATTTGTAGTGTACAATGTGATGTTTTAAAATACGCATATATTGTGTATGATTAGTGGACCAAGTTTTTTTTTTAATGGACCAAGTTTTTAATGCCTTGTTTTGATTATTTCTATTTTTTATTTATTTATTTATTTTTGGTTCCGGGGATCGAACTCGGGTCCTTGGGCTTGCACAGCAGGCGGCAAAACCACTGAGCTAAATCCCCGGCCCCATTTCTATTTTTTAAATCTTCCTTGTTTAGCACCAACTATGCATTGAAGAAATCTTCCAGGGAATAAACACATTGAAGAATCAAACCACACAAGGGGATGTTTTAGAAGAACTATTCCAAAACTTGTCTTTAATTAAAAAACACATCGACCTCCAAAAAGTAAGTTACAAACATTCCATGGGAACTGTATTTGTCTGACTGTACCTATTTCTACAGAAACCGATCACTCCTATGATACTTATTATCTATTCTTTTCACAGCAAAAATGTGGGGAAGAACAGCGGAGGGTAAAGCAGTTCTTAGATTACCTGCAAGAGTTTCTTACTGTCATAAATACTGAATGGACAATGGAAGGCTGAGACTAAACTGGCTGATTGTATCCAAAGATGTGGGGTTTTGCGGGGGAGTTTTTGGTACCGGGGATCGAACTCAGGACCTTGTGTTTGCCAGCCAGGCACAGCGCTACTGAGCTAAATCTCGGGCCCTCAAACTTATTTTTGAACAGATATTAACAGGAAAATTAAACTTATTAATAGGATATCGTGTGACATTTTAATACATGTATACATTGTGTAATCAGGTTAAATATATCTATATCCTCCAACATTTATCATTTATTTGTGGTAAAAATATTCAAAATCCTTTCTTCCAGCTTTCTGAGATACACAGTACACAACCACTATCTGAAGTCATCCTGCAGTGTGATAGCACACCAGAATTTCTTACTCTGATCTAACTGCAGCTTAGTACCTACTGATCAATCTTTTCCCATACTTCCCTCATTCTACTTTTAACTCCTATGAGATGAACTTTCTTAGACTCCATATATGAGGGAAACTATATGGTACTTGTATTTCTGTGCCTGAAATAGCCAAAGATTTTGGACAAGCAAAGAACATAAGAACAAGAGCCAACCAAGAAGGGTGGGGCCTTAATTTTCAGTGTCATTAAACTTCAATTCAAATATTTCAAGTAAATATTTCAAGCACACTTCTGCTTTACCACCTCCTTCTAAGCAGGGAATATAAAATAGTTGAGATGTATTTCAGATGTCAAAATCACTGAAGTATTTTGCTGCATTTTGCTCCAGACAAATTTAGCTTAATGTTCTGTAAAATAACTGTTAACTTAATAGTATTTATCAGATGATTAAGAATTTGGTAAATTAATATTTATTTTATGCTATGCAATGTTCCAATAAAACAAAAATGGACAACTGTGGTTAATTTGCTGCTGGCATCTGTCTTTTTTGTGCTGTTTTTTGGATTGTGCTCAGGACCTTGCACTTGCAAACCAGGCGCATTGCCAGAGCTAATTCTCTGGCCCCTTGCTGGCCTGTCTTAATGCTTGAAGTTTGCGGTCCATGCAAGGACATCGTGTTTGGAGGGATAGTCTGAGGGCAGGCGGCCTGGTAATGAGCGTTCCCGTCTGCCCGGTGGCAGAAGTCTCAGGGTTGCTAGGCACAGCGAGGGTGGAAGAAATCCAGTAGAATGTGCGAACGTGTGGGGAGCAGGGAGAGGCAGGAACTGAGACTGTTCCCTCTCCACAGCAGTCCACCCAGACCCTAAGATGGTGCGGGGAAACAGCAAGGAATGAATGAATGAATGCACCTTCTAGAATGCTTTCAAAATTGAGTTTTAAAGGCTTTCCCTGGGAGGAAGGCAGTGCTGGAACCTATAACTAGGTCTTTTCCAAGCCTATGAGAAGAATTTGGCAGACATTCTCACAGCCAGTTCAGAGAGGTGATGGCACAACGTAACAAAAAGAGCAGAGAAGGGGTAGTCAGGTAGTTGTATCCTGAAGGCTGAGTCCCCATGCCATATTCCCAGAGCAACACCAGGCATAACAACACTTCAGTCTGAGCGTTTATGACTATCGTAGCATAAATGGAGCTTTCTCTGCTTGAGAAAATCTATCAAGGATCCAGAGAATATTTTAAAACTGACATTGACCTAGTAATGATATTGAGCTATGCCACTGATTTCTTCAGTCGTTGTCCAACAAATACTTACTGATCACAGGCCCTGTGCTGGGTGTGGAATACAGATGGGGTCTGCGCTGGAAATCCTTAGGGACCAAAGCCATCATCCAGGGCACAGCTGCACACGTGGCATCGGGGCCAGGTTCTGGGCAGGTGTGAAGCAATCGGCCCTCCTACTTCCAGGCACGGCAGAGGGGCTGAGCAGCCAGACACAGACTCCCCAGTGCGTGGTGCAACGTCCTTCTGTGGAAGGAGACGTGTTTGCCCTCTACAGCAGGTCCAGTGGGCAGAACTCTGCCACTTACTGTGCCCCGGGCCCCCAACTCGTGGCCACACCAAGAGTCACAAGCTGAGCCAGTGAGGGAGGAGATGGATTTGCACAGCACCAGGCTCTAGAAATAGACAGGAAACGGGAAACTCAACTTGCAAAAAGACTGACTCAAATGACTCAAGTATGAAGCTCCAACATATTCCAGGACTTTTCTAGAGTGTAAAATCTATCAATGAATAAAACAGACAAAAATCTCTATTATTGCAGACTAACACCACCCCCCGAAAAAAAGAAAAGCTCATTTCCCACTTCTTTATCAGGATCTAATATGGTTAATGTGAATTTAAGACTAGAATACCATATTTTAAACCCTCACCAATTTACTAGGTCCCAGAGAAGCAAGGTGGGTTGTTTGTAAGTAACGGAAATGGAACTTCTTATGCGTAGTGAGGTTTTTAAAGGCAGAATCTACAGTTCTCCAGGTGCCCCCCTCCCCCAAAAGCATCCTTCCTGACTCCCCCTCGCCAGCGGGAACTGCTCCCCTCAGCCAGGCCTGGTGACGAATCAGGGGAGAGTGAGTTAGAAGGAAAGCTTGTTCCAACAACAGTCCATTTTCACTTGGCAACGCTAGTGTCCAAGCCCAGTGGGAGGAGCCATGTGGACTATCGGGTTGGTTGGGGGAGGGCCCCAGAAGAATCTTCCCAGACAGTGATGCGTCTACAACGCGTCACTTCCTGCCAGCCCTATGCCACAAAACCTGTTGCTGCGGCTCCTCGTCCTTTCTCCTTCTTCTCTGAGTCGCTGCTCTGGCTAATGTACCACGACCAACTCCTCATTACTTTTCTAGCTGACTTCCGGACTTTGACCCTTGGTGTCTTCCCATCCACTGTTCAGCCTCCACACTGGCTCTCTGGTCCCCTCAGCTCCATCCCCACGGACTTCGCTCACCTGCCTAGGCAGTCATCGGCTCTCTGCGTCAGGCTCTCCCCATGCTGTGGAGTCAGTTCCCACATGTCACTGTCAGGGATAAAACCCCTGACCCGCTACCATCTGAAGAAAGTCTACCTCCACCCCTTTCCACTTAACACTGTTTGCATGAAAAAATTATTCCGGGAACCCATTCCTATTGATTTAAATGGGAAATGTTTCAATGTATTGCATCTCAATCCCAAATCCTCAATTTCTTTTCTTTTTTTTTTTTTTTTTTTGGTAACGGGGATCGAACTCGGGACCTTGCACTTGTGAGGCGGGTGGCAGAACCACTGAACTAAATCCCTGGCCCCATCCTCAGTTTCTTAAAACAGAAAACATAATAAAAGACTCATGAATAAACAGCAAACTAACACTTTCAGAAGTAAAATATTTTTTAAATGTTTGGATTTTTGTGCATTTAATTGTGGTATAACAAGAATGTAAAGTTTACCCGGGGATTTAGCTCAATGGTTCCAGTGCCTGCCTCGCAAGCACAAGGTCCTGAGTTCGATCCCCAGTACAAAAAAAAAAAAAAAAAGAATGTAAAGTTTAAAACAATAATTCTTGATCACTTGCCAATTAATGTGACTCTGCTTTGTCCATCCCCTTAGCTGACTTTCAAAACCTATCCAACTGTTTTCTGTGAACTTTGATATGCTGTGAGTTGTAATTGGAGAGTTTGTGTTCGTCCGTTTTCTGTTACTATAACAAAATACCTGAGAAAATCAACTTAAAAAGAGGAGAGGCCCATTTTGGCTCACATTTGGAGGTTTCAGTTCGTGGCTGGTTGGCCCTGTTGCTTCGGCCTGTGGCAAGGCAGCACACCCTGGTGGGAGCACATTGTGGATCAAACTGCTCTCATGGCTTCTGGGGAGCAAAGAGCAAAGAAGAGGTGAGCTCTCACAAATCCCTTTAAGGGCACACCCTTAGTGACTTAGCTTCTCCCCTAGGGCACCTCTTCAAGTTTCCATTGCTTCCTAAGAAGACCAAAGGCTGGGGATCAAGCCTCTAAAACACAGGCCAGTGTAGTTTGGATGTGAAATGGGGGGACATGTCACATGTAAATTCTAGTAGTCTTTCTCCACTGAGCCCCTCATTACCTTGTCTAAAAGTTTGTAGCTGGCCATGGTGGTGCACACCTATAATCCTAGCACTGGGAGCCTGAGGCAGAAGGGTCACCATGAGTTTAAGGCAGCCTGTGCAATATACAATAGTGAATTCAAGACCAGCATGAACTATATATCGAGACCCTGTATCAAAAAAAAGAACACAAAAGTTTGTAATGTTTGGGGACATAAACATATTTTCCAGTGTATGTGTTGGTGGAAAAGCATTGCACTGAGAGACAGCTTATGAAGAAACAATCTAGGTGGAAAACATTGACTGGGAGGTGTTCAGTAGGAAACGCAAGCTCTTATTCCTCCCAGAATACCCTGTGAGATTCCATACTGTGCACCTTTGCCTGCACTGTTCCCTGTGTTTCAGGACACCTGTCCTTTCCCTCTCATTGTTACAAGTTTTTCTGCTATGTCATTCAGGCTGACCTCAAACTCACTATATAGCCCAGGCTGGCCTTGAACTCACAATGACCCTCCTGCCTCAGCCCCCCAAATGCCAGAATTGCAGGTGTGCACTGCCATGCCCAGCTTCCCATAGTTTTACCTTTTCCAGAATAACATATAGTTGAAATCATAGCCTATGTGGCATTTTCAGATCAACTTCTTTTACTTACTAATATGCATTTAGGGTTCTCCATGTATTGATAGTGCATTTCTTTTTAACACTAAATAGTACTCCATTGTTTAGATATACTATACTTTATCCATTTCATCTACTGAAGGACATCTTGTTTGCTTCCAAGCTTGGAAGCTATAAATAAAGCTGCTATAGGGCCAGGGATTTAGCTCAGCCGCACCACGCCTGCTTCACAAGAGCAAGGTCCTGAGGTACTGAGTTCAATCCTGGTACCACAAAAACAAACAAACAAATAAATAAAATAAATACAGCTGCTATAAACACCCATATGCAGGTTTTATATGGACATAAGTTTTCTACTCGTTTGGGAAAATAGCAAAAAGCACTACTGTTAAACTGTGTGGTAGAAGTAAGAAACTGCCAACAGTTACCAAAGTGGCTGTGCCATTCTGTGCTTCCACCAACAGTGGATAAGTTTCTGTTGCTACACATCATCAGGAGCCTCAGGTGTTGGCAGTGTTCTTTGGATTTGGGTAATTTTAATAGGTAAACAATGGTATCTTGTCATTTTGATTTGGAATTCCCTAAGGACATATGATGTTGAGCATACGTTTATCTTCCATCTGTATATCTCTGGTGAGAGGTCTATTCAGGATTTTTGTCCATTTTTTAATCAGCTAAATACCTGTTTGATGCAACTAAAAATGGGAAGAGCTCATTACCAGTAAACTCTCACTAGAAGAACTTTGACAGGTTGCACTTCTGAAAGGAGAGAAACACCTCGAAGGAAGGTCTGATACAAGGAGGAAACCACACAGTTAATGATTTATACAGAATGGTGTTATCCTCCAAAAATGATTTACTTTACTTCTAGCAAGCAGTCAGGGTAGGGACAGATAAACTTCAGTCTGACACACCACTGATTGGAAGTGGGTTTTGTTTTACAAGACTGATCTTTTTTTTTTTTTTGGTACCGGGGATCGAACTCGGGTCCTTGTGCTTACGCAGCAGGTGGCGAAACCACTGAGCCAAATCCCCGGCCCCAAACACTGATCTATTTTGAGTTAGCTCTTATTCTTAGGGTATAATGCTTTGGGGTTTCTGCTACAGCCTGGAAGTATTCAGAGGAACTCCTCCTATTTGGTGAGCCATGAATTCCAATTTTTGTCCCACCAGGCCCATGAGACTCCCTAAAATGCTTCTTTATTCTGTCAGTCCTCAGTCACAACTGTCCTCTTCAGGTTTTCTGGTGCTCAGCCTCTAGATCTCTCAGCCCTACTTACTAATCAGTAAGCACCTCATGAAAAAAGCTATACTAAATGTCAAACTCCCTTCTAGGCTTCTCTCTTCCTTAGAATGTTGCTCCCTTGAGTCCTCATTGTCTTGATTCTTGCCAACAGATTTTTTTTTTTGCAGTACCGGGGATCGAACTCAGGTCCTTGCACTTGCGCAGCAGGCGGTGAAACCACTGAGCTAAATCCCTGGCCCACCAAAAGATTTTCAAAAGGCTATTTGAGCCAGGTGTGGTGGTGCCCACCTATCATCCCACCAGTCAGGAGGCTGAGGAAGGACGATCACAAGTTCGAGGCCAGCCTAGGCAATTTAATAAGACAGTCTCAAAATAAAAAGGTTGCGGATGTAGCTCAGCTTACAGGCCCTGGGTTAAATCCCTAGTGTGAAAAAAGTAAATAGGAAGGGAGGGAGGGAAGAAGTGTAGGTTAACTGACCAGTTTTCTTAGTTCTTGGCGACAAGGCTGGCCTGTTACAAGCCAGTCTGTCATAGCCTGAACTATAACCATCCTGGTTATTGCAGGATCTAAAAAGGTAAACTGGGCTGGGGATTTAGCTCAGTGGTTCTGGCCCTTGCCTTGCAAGCGCAAGGTCCCGAGTTCAATTCCCAGTACCAAAAAATAAATAAACAAAAATAAAAAGGTAAATTGAATGGGAATGTGCTAGAAAACCACTAGTGCATGGTTCAAGTCTTCCATGTGACAAAACTCCTTTCCTTCATCCAGGAATACAATATTGTCTTTGAGGTACCATTTTGATCAGGCAGGCTAGTTTAAGATCTTCCTCTTGACCTTTACTTCATAGGTCAGAGAACCAATATTCTCTAAGAATGTTCATTCCATTTATAAATAGCTGGGAAAATAATCACAGGGTGTGAGAAAGATTCATGCTAAAGCACCACTTATCACTTGTACTAGGTGAGTCCTCCTCTAGGCAGAGAATCTAACAATCCTTGAAAAGTCTGGATATTTTCTTTTACCAGTGCAGTTATCCTGATGAATAGCTCTAGGCCTCCTCAGTAAAAGGCTGAAGAAAGTATATTATAAAAATAAATAAATAAAAACAAATAAATAAATAAAAAGAAAGTTTATTACATGTGTGTGTAGTGAGGTGTCGAGTTCTCCCATTTGATCAATGGACAGTGGGGCTATGATCTGCCTTTGATCTGGGAACCACCAGAGGCAGGGCTTGGTTTTCCACTGTGGTGGCTGATGTCAGCCTTCTACGCACAAGGTCTTGATTCTATCTGATTACATGAATATGCTGATTGATTACCTCCCTTGCCTCTAGAATCGATTTAATCTGTTAGCCCCCGTCATAGATCCCTGGAGGTAAAAGGTAACGATGCTCTGATGGGTCTTGTGGCCTTGCTGCTCACTGTAGTCACTGTGTCCACCTGGCCCTCCCTGGTTGCATGCTCCCAACCTGGCCTCATTCCGGAAATCTCATCTTGCTCTGACTTGTAGAGGACCCCTACAGCCAGCCTTTGCAGGGATGCTCATTTCTCTTCATCAGGGCAGCCCTTGCCACGTTAGCAAAGGAAGCATACTCCGTGCCCTCCAGGACATAGTCAGACAGTGCTTCTCACACAGGTACAGCGACTGCATTTTAGTACTCCTACCTCCCAGAGCTATTTGCTCCTTTCCTCCACACTAGGGAAGGTAGTTCTGGTGTCTCCACCTCACAGTCTGTTCAGCATCATCAGGGTGAGGTTCCAAGGGGCCACTTTAGTAAAACGTTAGGAACCGTTTTGGGTGTTCTTCAAGAAATGTTAAATTCTGAGCGATAGTGAATAACCACCATCCCAGTGAATTCAGTCCTATTCAACTCTAGTTCCCCCAGATGAACGGCCTCAGAATCCACTGTGTCCTGATCCTGACAGCACATATCAGTGAACCCCTGTGGACCCTAGGATTCCAAGACTGTATGTCTCATCTCCTAATCCCCCTCCTGCACGCTGCTGGAACTGGGATTCAGGAACTAGTTTCTTTTGCTAGCTGAATCCCTGTCAAGATCTATGATAGGTCTCCCACCACCTCAGCAGCTATTATATATAGTAGCTGCCCTCTTCCTATGGTGCCTTGCCCCCTCACCTGTGTGACGTCCTGCCAAGATGGTTGCTCCCACCAAAGAACAAACCCTTCTTCCCAGCATGCCCCTGTTCCCGCCTAGAAAGTAACCTAATACTCACTCACCTCCTACCACCTAGTGATGTCACCGGCTCCTCTGCTAGTCACTAACTCACTCAACCCCGCCTCAGCCCCTACACACCCCACCCCAGTCTCTAGAAAAGACTCTCCCTGCCCCGGCCATATTGCTTTTGTCTCTCGTTTGGTCAGAGACAGCCCGGCAGATCTATTCCCCTAATAAAGGCTTGTTGTGGCCTGGTCTGGTCTTGGTCTTCGGCCTTTTACCTGACAATCTATCCAGAAGGAGTGCTAGCTAAAGTAAGGATTGCTTCCTTCCTATTTCTTATTTTTGTTTCCTATCCCTACCCTTTTCTACCCTCACTCCTAACCCTAACATTAACCCTGGTAGCACTGATTCATTCTGCTGGCAACAACTGGTTACGGTTTGCAGTTTTTCTACCTTTCCTAGAACTAACTTCCACAGAGCCTGCCCGCTCTGAGACCTCAGCACTGGGACAAGCCCTCTCGAGAGGATCCCATGCCCATAGGACCCCTGTTCTGAGCTCAGGGCAGTGTCTTCTCCACAAACATCCCAGGAGCTTCAGATTTACAAGTTTTAGCAATTCTAACATCTTCCCTTTGTTTTCCAGTCATAGGGGTGGCAGGTGATTTCCACAATTGCCACCTCCATGATACCTGTTGTTTCCCTTTTTCGCTGGTCCAGTTTGGAATACCTGCCCAAGGATTCCTCAT